ACATGTCATACGCAAAAAGTCGTAAGCGTTAACTGAAGAACCCCATAAGATATATTACTTAATCAGACGAAGCTTTCTTCTCCCGTGTGGCTATAAGATACGCACATATCGTAAGCGTTAACTTAGAAAACCCCATCAGGTATTCACGTTTGTATTACGCACCTTTCGTCTTCGTTATGGATATGACTGTCCAACGGTAGAGTGGCATGTACTGCATGCAGAGCCTGTAGTCAGAAGATTTAAAAAAAGTTTATATTCAAATAAGTAACCACGTACCGACATGTAGAGCCCGTAGCTAGAAGAAAGATTACGTTTAAAATAATAAAAGTTTATGTTCAAAATTACAACCTCACACCGACATGTAGAGCCTGTAGTCGAAAGAAATCATGCGTTTGAATTAATGAAAGTATAGGCCGGTGTGTTACCAGGTGTGTATGTTCAAATATGTATCCACGTATAAACATGCAGAGCCTGTAGATAGATGAAACAATACGTTTAAAATAATCAAAGTATAGGTTGGTGTGGTACCAAGTGTGCATGTTTGATTATGAAATCACGTACATGTGCATGAACATTCATTCGTTCCCAGATCAACTTACGCTCACGATTTAGAAAAAACCCTAAAACATATTTCCGAAGTGTACTTATTTACCTACTGACATTTCTACTGAAAGCCATTTGTTTAACATGCACTCAGATGTTTGTACATATTTCACACACAGCTACACTCCCATCCCCATATACATCCTCACACAACTGTCGTATGCACCTCCAATCCATACCTGAGGGCCCTTTTTGTCCAGAAAATTCTGGATCCAACGCATTGGCTGGTTCTGCAGCGACACCTTCAGACGGTCAAGCGATGACTCTAGCTCCTCCTTAGTTGCGTTGGGGTTGGTCAGTTCGTTTATCAGGTCTTGGGCCGAGTTTCCATCACGGTCTTGGCGTTCCTGAGAAATGCCATAGACAGTAGGGAACAAACGGCGGTTGTTTGAGGGTATAAATACGAATGTTACGGGAGAATATAGATACGTATGCAACGAGAGTGTAGCTATAGTCAGGGGGTGTACATGGTGTACAGACGGTGGTTGTTTGAGGATATAGATACGTATGTAACGAGAGTGTAGCTATAGTCTGTAGGTATACATAGTGTACAGACGATAGATTTCTTAGAATATGAATACAGATGTCATCATTTTTTGTTCATCTGTTGCATCTCCTGAAAACGTTTATTATAGCAGGTTAACGGGGAACACAATATTTCATTGGATCCCTTTGATCAATACAACGTATTAATTCGTTTGTCACATCTCAGTAGGGTCGTTCGCACGTATGAATATTCGAAGCTTCGGAACGATTATCAAACAAACCGCAACAACGCAATCAAATAAAGAAATAAATGGCATACTATATGATTCTAGGTAGAATACTATCCGTTATCATACCGTTAACTTTTGATGCTCGGAGATCATCTGCCACTTTAAGTGTTTGGGTTGCTTCTTCATCGCTTCTCTCGCTTCCAAGTTTATATCACTATCCACCTAATGGTAGAGAATGTGCGTGGAAAGAGTAGAGGAACGTATGAGCAAGCCAATACACGCACAAAACTTT